TGTGTGTGTGTGTGTGTGTGTGTGTGTGTGTTAGGAAGCGGAGGCACCAGATAATGCAAGGCCTATTGAAATATTTGCGTTTGAATGCCTGTGCCTGTGTGACTGCCTTGTGAGTGAACTAGCACGCCAGGGAGACAAAGAGTGCAAGATGGATATGGGTGGTAAGTGCATTTTGTGGAAAAAAAATGAAAAGAGAAAATAAACAAAGGCAAAGAGAAGAAAAGAATGGAGACATGTACAGTGTGCACTTGTCTCTTCCAGCAGGATGCTGTACTGGGCTACTTGTTTCTCAGGCACACAGCACCACATTTAACCAAACAGCCACTCACACAAATTGTTTACTTAGTTTTCTCAGCTATATAGTTCTGACTAATAAGAATTTGACTAAAAGATCACAGATCCTTTACAAATGAGCTTAACCTGCTTGAAACATGAACAAAAGCACTTGCTAATAGCCACAGGTGACTGACTGCAGCAAGTTATAAACTATAATATTCACTTTTAAATCGTATGAAAGTCTTTATTTACAACCTCACAGCACTGTTAAAGCACTTTGCATACAAAGAGGTGCAGAAACAGTGTTCCTACCTGCCTCTTACCTTCTCAGCATGCCGGTAAGGATGCGGGAACTCTTGCCCAGGTTGGCGTCTGTTTCTCTCAGCTGGAGTTGTAGGGGAGACAGAACCAGTGAAGGACAGCTTTTAGTTTTAATTCTGAACAAACACTTGAGCAATTTCAGTTTAACACACTCTGTCAACAAACTAAAGCTGTTTTTAAAAAAAATCCCTCTGGTGAAGCACACACCAGGAAACAGTCCTTCTGATGTGTTTGCACAACTGGAAATATGTAAATGGGTTTAGGCAATGGTGGGTGGTGGCAGCGCACATAATGACCACTCGCTACTGTTAAATGCGCTGCAGTATTAGCTGCACATGTTGTGAAATCTGACATCGAGGTGGACTTTGTCCTAGGAATTTGTTGCAAGTTTGCAAGTTAAAGGCTTCTGTATCATAAGAACTGACGTTGCTTTCACACACGACGCTGTCGGCTGGAGCTTAACATACAATATGTGGATACTATTTCATCCACACTTGAAAACAAAAAAGAAGCATGTAATGAGTATAAATAAGTACCACGGCAATAATGTCATTTGATTATTACAGTATTGTTGTGCAAGGTACTATTGCACTGTACTACTGGCCTTAGGGCAGAAAGACATCTCTACAGTTTGACACACTTTTCACTAAAGTTTCTTGCGACCCAGAGAGATGAATGGGAGATCCTTTGATTAGAGCTTGCCTTCTTACCTTAAAGGTACTGGCTTACCTGTCAAGAGACCACCCTCGGCAAAACCCCCCACTTTTAGACAAAACCAGTGGGGGGAAAAAAATACACGACAATTTTAGAGCTGCTTTAAAAGCAACTTATTTACCAAAGCATGAACAGCTAGGCTACACATAAGATCAATGTTTACTTCATTTGATGCATCTTTATGTCTATAAACTAGCAGCATCGTGAGCTGTTCAATGACAGAAAACTTTTGAAAAAACCTCCATAACCTTAATAGGACATGCCACTTGATGGTCTTATATTCATCTTACTACAGAGCTAGATGAATATAAGGAAATGGAGTGAAAGATGCCTTTACTTTTAAAGTAGGTACCAAGCAGTGGGAGTCCTTGAAGGCACCCTTGAAATGATGATCATGGCTATTGAGGACTAATTGCCTGGATATTTCCCTTTTCTTGCTCCATTTCTTTCCCTTTTTCTTCCTCTCTGCCTTTTTTCCCTTCAGGGGTCATAGGAATGTTTTCAAGCTACTCTCTTGTCAGGCGTAGGGACTTTTCACAGGGAGGAGGATTTGGCAAAGATGTTGCCAGCAAAGTGTGAGTGTGAAAGTGAAAAAAAATGCTGACACTGCACTGAGTGAGCTGCCACTAACATCTACCTGTAGTCGCATTTCTCGAGGATGACAGGGGAGCACGGGGAATAGTGATTGCAGAGTTTTTCTCTAAACAGTCAGCAGGGAGTGATTTATCTTCGTCTTTCTCTGAAATAACACTGCTTTCCCAATAAAGTCACCCCTTCTCTGTATGTTTTCATCAGTGAATCACACTATTTGTTTTTAATTCTTCAGTTTCACATCTTTTCTACCAAAACTCCCCTTTCCTCTACAACGATCGGAGCCACGCTCTCTTTTTTCATGTTTGTTCTGGCTCATCCTGCAGTCATCGCTCTTCCCTGCAATTCATCCTCCCTTCCCAGCCCTGCTTTACTGCTCCTTTCTTCCTCTTCTTCCATCTTTCCTTCTTACCCTCTGGCAGCCTGGGCTGGTGTGATGCAGGCTGCCAGAGCCAAAGATACATGTGGTACAGGGTGGGAGGTGGGGGACCTGGGGTTTGGGCCCTCTGGCAAAGACAACAAGTCCAGCAGTTGCCTGATGTCTGCTTCTACCCACAGATCTGTCCCCTAGACACTTTGCACTTTCTCCCAAAATACATCTCTCTCTCTGAATCATTCCTTCTTTCCTTTTCCACCTCTCTCCCTCTCCCTCCACAGCCTCTCACCAAATCGTACGCCTTCCTCCATAACCTGAAATGGAAACCCACTGAAGTTTTAGGGTAGTCGAGTGTCTAAAATTAATCGTGGCTGCCTATAAAGAGAGAGTGAGAAGACCTTGTTCCTTGAAACTCATATTTTTTTCCAGCACTAAAGTAGAACAATTTCTAAAGACATCTTTAGCCAGCTTCGAGGATTAAAATGCATACACGTGTTGTTACTATTAACACAAATGAAAGCTAATTTGCATCCAAAATTCTAAACAAACTCTGATCCATATCATTTAAAGTGCAAATAGAGGGGCATTAAGGGAAATAAAAGGTAAGGTTTCAGCTTCAAGGATAAAAAGTCCAAACTGAACATTTAATTCATTTTAGAGCATTAAAGTTTGTTAGCTCACTGAGTACGACCATTCATTTGTCTGCATAATTAATCCTCCTCAGGTTAAATAAACTGTGCTTACAAATGACTGAGGCGATACTGTCAAAGTGCATGAGTTTATTTCATTTATTTTCAGTTAATTAATAAATAACTGTTGAAACTGAAGTTACAGCTTGCTGTGATAACTCTGCACAGTCGTAATCAAAGTGTTAAAAGAAGCAGGTTTTACTTTTAAGGCTGTCTAATACTTTTACTTTATTTCCTCAAATTCTTACACTCATTCCCGCTCTTGTATTATATGCATTTAAAAGACATGAATTACCACATTTAGGCAACAACCATTAAAAAAATGCCCCCCTGCTACGTTTCACACCCTGAGGTAGCCTTGAGATCGGTTAAAAGAAATTCTTCAACCCGTTCAGGTGGTTCTGAGTCGGCAGCGTACTGCTCTGACCCTGTGTTGAAGTGTTCTATTGACTCCTATTTGTACCATAAAAGCAAAACAAAAGGCCACACCTCCTGCCGAGCGCTGGGGCTTGTGTAAATTTTGTGCTTGTATGTTTGTGGGTTTATTCATTGCCGAAACAATTTTAAATTCCATCTCTTTAATGCAAAAAGAGCTGCTAACCGACCCTTCTATCCTCGTGTCTTTACATCTCGGTTTCTTTTTACTTAACTTTTGCCCCACAAACTGCCTTTAAAGGCTCAGTGTGTGTGTGTGTGTGTGCGTGCGTGCGCATTTGTGTACATATGGTGAGGTGGTTCAGCAGAGGAGACTCATGGGAAGAAGGGAGAGAGAGAGAGAGCAAAAGAAAGAGAGAGCAGGTACTCTCAGTAGACGCTGTGGACCGTTTTGAAAGGAGATGTTTGATTTCCTTTGAAATCTGCTGTGCGAGGCCCAATGCCATGTTGTGATCTTTAAGCATTCTGCGTTGAGGGGGCCAACAGGGCTGGGCCCCCTTCCTGTGTTTGGTCTTTTCTGTCTCTGCCTACCTGTCTGTTTGGCTGACTGTACGTAAGGAGGGGAAGCACTAAGGATTGGGAGGGCTCTCTGAGGAAAAGTTGGAAGGATGGAGCGAAACGGCAGAGGGGTGCAGGAAAAGTGCAGGAGGGTGGGCGAGGAAGGACGGCAGGTGGCAAAGTTAACCCTTTTTAAGTGAAAGGAAGCAAAGGGGGAAGAAAGCCATATTTCAACATTTTATCCAATCCAATTTTAGTTATAAAACACTTTTGAAAAACACAAGTTTGACAAAGTGCTGTACAATTCATCTTGAGCGGAACATATGGAGCTAGAAGCTCAGATATGTATTGCGGTGCTGATCAATTAAGGCTTTTAAAAGCACATAATGAAATCTTAAAATACATCTTAAAAGGAGCAAGAATGTGCAAGGGGAAATGTGCTCACGTTTATGGGTTCTGGTTAAAAGATGAGCTGCAGCATTTTAGGTGCTTTGTTAAAAACACCAATGTTAGTCACTGCTCATTTAACATGTGGCTGCAGGGGCCCAGGTCCAAGAGAAGAGCAGCACACACACTACTGAGTCTGAACGCAATTACCTCAATCTTACTTTCACTGAAATTTAAAACATTTGCATGCTTTGATATCTTTCAGACAGTTGTGTTTAAAGGAGCTGACGTCACTAATAAAGCAAAAAACAAAAAAATGTGAGCCGACAGCAACACCTACTCAAATGCCAAACACAGCCATCCATAAACGGGCACACTGAGCTCCTTCTCGTTATATAAATCTGCTGACTTAGTGCGTGCCGAGGAGGGTGTATCTCACAGTTGTGTGAGGCAGCTTTCGTTTGTGTGTTTACGTGAGAAGCCGTACAAAAGTGGCAAATGTTGGCCGTAACGGCTTACCGTTTCACGAACACTTGTTAGAACAGATGCGCGAGTGTGCGCAGGTGTCAGGTGTGCACTCACCCTTTCTCTAGCTCTCTGGATCTTCTCACGGTCACTGTGCAGGTTGGAAAGAATCTCCTGCCCCACTTGTTCTGCAAGAAAAGAGCATCCAGCATAAGATGGCAGGTCCAAAAAATTCCGCCATGTGATGAAATGAATAAAATAAAATAAAACAAATGAACGATTAGGTGATTGCGAAAGCCTGGCTTGCACTCACTTTAGCTGTAATCTCTTATTTGTCAATCATTCTCACCATCATGATTAATGTAGAAATCATTTGTTTTTTGTTTTTTCCACATCTGGACCTACTTGGGTATGTGTAATATTTGTGCAGTGTGTACACAGACATTGCTGTCTAGGAGTGTCAGACAAACAGACAGAAGAATACTGCATCTGAGGGAAGTGTTGAACTTTCTTAAGATGCTGGAGTAAATAGACATGAAGTTCTAGACAACAACATCCCAGCATCCAGCCTGCCAGTGGGGTCCACTCTGCCGATGCAATATTCATTACTCCTTTCTTTTTTTTCTTCCCTTTTTTTAAACGGCTCTCGTCAGTTGTAGTTGTAAACACATTAACGCACAGTTATAAAACATCCCCGACAAGGCACCTGACAAGCTTGTCAGTGGTCACTGTCATTTTCCTGTCCCTTGGGAATGAGAAAAGAAAGGCGGGGGGAAAGAAAAAAAAAAGATAAACCAAATAAGATGCCCCCCACCACCACCAGAAAAACCCACCGGTGCCATCAATGTAACCATACTGCTAGAGCATTAGTGTTTAAAAATAAGAGAGGCAGAGGATGAATCAGGAGAAAAAGGGGAGAAAAAAAAAGAGTGAAGAATCTTTGCATGGATCAAAGACAGGCTTTCAAGCGCACCAAACAAATCCGGAATAAACAACACAGTTGCTGACTGTATTACACTACACAGGTGCCGCACACCAAAGGGCCCACGTGCTGAGCGCCTGTTTGGGGGGAGCAGTGCAAAAATGGGCTACATCTGGCAGCTAAACAAGAGGGGAGAGAAAGAGAGAGAGCGGCATAGAACGGGGATCAGGGAGACGCAGGGAAAAAAAGAGAAAGCATTGTCAAATGAACGACATTCGTCTCCCATTCATCCCATCCCTTTTACCCCCTTCGCACTGTAACTGACTCAAATGTGTCTCTTCCTGCCTTCATTAATTTCTAATCTGGGACGAGACAGATTGAAGGATACCCAGATTAAACAGTGCAGTCAGACAGTCACATGTGACAAATAGGGCAGATTAAAAGACTGAGCGCAGGTATTAATAACCATAAAAATACAAGCCCTCCCCCGTCCCGAACGGAGAAGAACAAGGGATAAACAGGGAAGGAGTTGAAGCGGAAATCTTCTGTTAAAGAGACAAATAAGCACATCTATCCATCTCTGTCAGGGCTGTGGCTCTTTTTTTTTTTAAATAAATGAGTGTGACAAGCACTGCAGCAGCAGAGGGTTACTTTTTTGATGGCAAGTGCATTATTGGAGAGGTTTGCAGTGTGTAAAAAGATGGATGAGGTAGAGGAAGAAAAGACCTCCTAAGACATTGTGCTCCAGGTACTTAAGCAATCGTTACAGACACTGTGCACGAAGGCGTGTTTTGCGATTATGGTTTGGACCTACAACCGAGTCTGTTGTGGATGCATTTTCCATGCTGACTGTATACACTACCCACAAGTGAATGACCGTCCTTGACAAATCTAACAGCTGCTGGAAAAAAAAAAAAGGAAATCACAATACGAGTCTTGTTTAAGTTGTGTCCATTTTTGTAACCTTACTGGGAGGGAGCAAGAACGCACAACCTTGCCTTTCTATTTTTCTGCCATTACCCAAGATGTTCCTCTATTAAAAGAAATCAATATGTTATTACAAGAAAATGACATTGAAGACACTGCATAAGCTCAATCATGGCATCTTTGATGGATAGCCATGAGCACAGCTGCGTCAAATCATTTGCAGTCACCAGAATAGTATTTTGAGTTGGCTTGTTATGATTAACATTTTGTTCACTGTCAGGTCTCTCTCCAGTCCTCCAAAAAATTTTTCCCATCATTCCTTTATGACTTTCTTCCCCTACACTGACTTCAGAGGTATACACATCATCTCCCCAAAGGACGTATTGTGTTGATTGGATCTCAAGCATCCACCCTTTCCTTACTCATTCTCTGGCATGCATCTACACTTGCATTCATCTAATTTCATTCCTGCTGACTAGTTCTGTGTAAATCTTCATTAGTTACTGGGAAAAAAACAACTTTAGGAAAAAAATAAATAAAACTCCCATTTTGTGACCTGTACTGCATCTTAATCATATACTTTCACCCAAAGCTATCGCCACTCGTGGAAAGAAATACAGCAAACTAGTCCCTATTATCCAAGCTGTAAACTCATGATGAAATTACCTTAAATTGCTTGGTAGTTTTTTCTGCCCTTTGCAATGCTGACATATTACATATTCAAGTTTGCATAGGATGTTTAACTGCATAAAATCTAAATAAACACACAATTTATGACCACGACAAATATGGAGGCTATGTAAAAAAAACAAAACTGAAAAAAGTACAGTTGATAAAAACAAAACCGAGAGGCAAAATAATTCACTGTTAATGCTCCTGACTTAATGCTCGTTAGTGTATAAAATATTCCCCTCCTGTTTAAACAGCTATTAACAATTTAAATAACCCTGGCCCAGAGGCCTTGCTCTGACTCTCTTGTTAAAGATCTCCGTCCCCCAAAGGTCCATTTAACAAGCCCATTATTCCATTACATTGCATTTACATCAGCACCAGAGAGCCTTAATTTAACTTGCTCCTGTAATGTAACTGTAGAAAATAATTAGTATAGAAAAGTTGAAGGCACAAATTAGATTGAGGGGAAAATAATGTCTGTGTTACGATTTTTTTCTCTCCCTTAAATACACGGAAAGACTATTGACATAGCAGAGCCCTGCTGTATTTTATCACAACCTTTTGTTAAGAATTACATGGCAGGGGGGGGGTGGAAGGCTATTTTACTGGGTAATTAGCTTTACTAGAGTATGAGGTGCAATGTAATGTAATCTATAAAGCTTGAACAAGCCGAACATAGCTGGAGTAGGATATTTTGTCAGCTCCAAATGTATTAAAAAAACCTCAACCAACCCGCATATATTGTTTCCACTACACTTTACCACCAAGAAACAAAACCATTACAACACCATGAAAAACAACTCTGAAAGGACTGCAACTGGAAACACATAATTCTATACAATGACCTATTATAAAAAGCAATGCTTTTAGAATGGTGTGGTTAAATTATTATAGATAAAGATTAATATATTCATATAAGAAGGGACTGAGTACTGGATAGGCACATTTATTTATAGCATATATGTATATATTAGGCAACCATTCGCAAGTTCACAGGCACAATTACTGTCAGCTTTATGAAACGTGCAGGTTTGTCTGCAACAAAACAAATGACAAAGATCAAATGAAGAAAATGAAATAATAAGTGTCCAAGGAGGAAGCCAGGGAAGTCAACACTGATAAGTAAAGAAAGACTCATAGATTATAAGCAAAGAAGTAAATGCCCAAAGTCTCCAGCATCAGTGGGATAGTACCAACTGTAAGTGATGGCATCCAGTAAGGATGGAAGACAGTTTTAATTACTGACATCATAAGAGAATCCCTTTTAGAATATGTTTATAAATATATTAAATTTCTGTTAGCATTTTGTTCTTTACTTGTAATTTAATACCTTGTTTTATATATTTAGCTGTAACTATGAGCATTTTTGTCTTGTAGCGTTTATCATTTTAATATTAGTAGTAATAGTAATAATATTCAGTTTAAATTTGTGTGTTCAGACTGGCTGAGACACTGAATTTTGGTAGCGTGTGAGCACCTTGCCTAAAGTCATATGCAATATTAAAACTTTATATCTCTGAATGTTGGAAAGTTGGACCGATAACCAATTAAGCATTTTGATGACATCTTAGGCTTTAGGGAATTAGGTCAAACATTTTTGGCATTTCACAACAAACCGAAATAAGGAAGAATTGTCAGTTACTTGATGACAACAGAAAAGGTCTGCTTTACTTTCTCTCACCATCTCGTGTTATGTTATGAAAAACATGTCTATGTAAATAAAAATCATAACCTGCCCTTATCTGCACACATTGCTTAGGACAACACGGCTCAAACAACTAACAATTTGGATAAAGTCCAAACCTCTATAGCCTTCAACTTTTTACTCCAGTCCATGGACACATTTAATTGGAGCCATCATCTATTTCACACAATGTGCTTCATAGCGTATACACTGTGTGAGGGCCCCTGTCTCTTTTTCGGTGGTGCATTTTTTTATTTTATTTTATTTTTTTGCTTGCTCTCCTTCTCCCCTGAGCCAAAAGGGGACAAGACCTGACAGTGGTGTGCTCTGAGGCTCTGAGGCTCAGCACAGCTCCTTTTCATTAAGCAGTTGAGACCACTTTTTGAAGGTTACCACACACACTTATATCCAGACACAATCCATACACTCCAACAAACCCATGGAAACCTATGGGAGAGCTGAGGGGGAAGTAAGGAGGGGCCTAAAAAAATGTAAGACCATGCATTTTCTCTCTCTCAAACTCCATCAGTCACACAAACACACTTTCACACACACAGTGCGGCAGTCAACTTGTATGCCTGTGACTCCCAGGTGAATAAAGTTACCTGTCTTTGTACACTTTCAGAGGAGCTTTTTTTAAGGACTTTTCAAGTCTACAGCTGCCGGGTGACACACTTTCATCACCCCCATCAAAGTTGTACCCACAATGGGATGTATTTGTAATGCTGAGCCCACAGGCCATGAGGCTAGCGCCTTCGCACTGAGCGATAGCTCAAAATAAAGAGGTGCCAACTGCTAGGTCACAGGAGGGGCATGTAGCATCTGGGGGCTCAGTGATGTTATGACAGATTACTTATAATAATAATAAACTCTACCGAATGTTAATGAGGAACTTTCTTTATCGCAATGAGAGCAATTTATGATTTAACAAGAGTCAAAGACAGCTGTGGTGGTTCATTAGAAGGAGGAGGTCATCTAAGTGA